CATTGACCCCTCCAATCTTATCCATGAAGAGGCCGTTTTTCAAGCCTTAACCGGAATCGATTGGTCAACGGTTGATTTCCAGCGTATGTGGAGGGATGAAGAGAATGTGACCGCGCAAGATGACCCTCAATCTTCAAGCCGTCCCAATGAGGAATCCTAAACCGGTGGTCGGTTTACCAGTTGCAGTCTTCCACTCTTTGAAAACAATTATTTAATTTGGGCTGTTTAAAGCACCTTGTAATAGGATAGCATGAACACCTTTATCTGTCATGCCATCGAGCATGTTTGTTTTGCTTGATACCTGAAAACTTGTTTTGCCTTTGGGATCTATTTATGCATAGTCCATTATGATTTGTGTTCCTGCATATAAGAACTTTGAAAGTGTCCTGGTGGTTTACCACTGGATGGGTCATAATGCCCAAAAAATATATACATAACTTGGATGGACAACGAAGATTTGTAAAAATAGGTGATACATAACACATACCTTGTTGGCTGACCAACTGTTTGTATAGTAAGGGTGAAAAACACCAATCCGAAGTGTTGATGACTCCTTGCCCTCTTGCCGATTCATATAAAAACCAAGCCGGGCTATAATAGCCGCTGATTTGTTCGTATAATGCTGGTGACCTGTAGCCAAAACCAGACCGGAGCAATTTGCTGCCAGTTTAGAACTGATTATGTACTAACAACTGAGCGTTGAAAGCCATGCCAGGTTGTAATAAACACCGGCTTATTAGAAATATTCATAAATCCCTTATCAAAAAATATTAAAAACAACAAATCAAAAAGGAAATATACAAGGCTTTTCATGGGCTGCCAGGCCCTAAATCGAGACTTTTCATGGGCTGCCAGGCCGCTGAATTAAACCATTTTGCAAAGCCTTTTAAGATGGATCTCAATCTTTAACCAATCAACGTTTTAACTTTGAAAAGTTCAGGGTCCATGAGATTGACTTGTCAAACGTTCGATGGGTAATACTAGGTTTACCTAGACGGAGTGGCTTACTTAAAGAGGCAGGATAACCCGGGGTTTTAGGTGAATATACCTGGCTTCCAAGCCTGGCTTGATAGCCTATTACAAGGGCGCAAGCTCGTTGTTCTTTGAGAAGCAAGGAGCCCCCAGGTAATATTTGAGCTGTGCTCAGTGGTTACCTATGTTTGAGTTGTGCTTGATGCAACATACTCTCTTTGGTTCCACATAATTTCCTTTTGGCTTTAAGCCTATCAAGAGGTGTGGCTATGGTGTGAAGACAACCAAGCCCCCTAGTGATATCCCTTTTTGGTTTTAAACCGATCAAGAGGTGTAGCTATGATGTGAAGACAACCAAGACACCGGCCAAACTTTCAGCCGGTCACTACGCACCGGCAGAGCCAGACACATAAAGCCATCCTATTGGGCAAGCGAGTGCGACCAACCTGAAGCACGGCCACCCTCATCGTCTCTAGCTGCCCTTGCCGCTGGTTGCTGCCTACGTTTCTCGCGGCTCCATGCATGTAACCACGTGCACCCGTGGTGGTAGCTCTAGTGGCAATGGCGGCAGCTCGCCGTAGCACCGTGATGCACCGTCGAAGCTCGCTGCACGGGGTTGCATGAGCGACGGTCAAGAGACGACGCCGTTCATTTTTTGAAAATGGGTGCTTTATTACTTAAATAATTTAAACATTACACCCATCCTCTGCATAACTAAGATACACACAGTCAAACAAGGTCTTTCATAGAAACGAAAAATAAGAAAAGCGAAATACAAAGAGACATGTAGAGTCAGTATA